CACATCTCCATGCTTAATCATGTGGGACTAAACTACCAGAAGATTACAAGAATATTTCTGAGCCATGAGCTAAGAGGGAAAAAGCTCAATAATGATTTGCCTGCTTATTTTTAATAAAATCCTGCCAGTGGAGCCGAATCTTTGCTCTCAGAAAAAGCTCTGCTTTGCTGCAGTAGCGTCAGTGAGCCTTAGCTGGAAGTGTGACAGGGTGACCTTGAAGACCAAGCTTTGTGTAAAGGAAAGCTCCCTGATGGGCTCTTGCTGCTTGTGGAAGCAGGAGGGTCCCTGCCCCTCGCACCTACCCTCCTGTGCTCTGGAAGAATGCTGAGTGTCACCTGCCCCTCAGACCTCCCCTTGGCTATGGCTCAGTGGTGTCTCCTATGAAGTGACAGCTCCATCTGTCCTGCCCATCCTGCAGGTGAGACAGAGGGTGGCCAGGTAGTTGGTGTGCAAGCTCTCCATTTCCAGGTTCCAGCACCTTCTACCCTAGTAGTAGTTAAGAGGGCTGGGAATTTAGCTCAGTGGCACCTCACCTGCCTCACCTGCCTCACAAGTGCAAGGTCCTGAGTGCAATCCCCAGTAACAAAACAAAACAAAAAAAAGCAAAGACAGTTGTTAAGGGCAAGAATTGGGTGAGGGAAGGGGCTTCTGCCCTTCAGGGAGAGAGGAGGTTAGCACAGGGCAGGCACAAGACCCACACAGCTCCTTTATCTGGGGTTGTGACAGAGGCTGGACAGAGGTAGACCAAAGGAGATCCCTTTAATAAGGCCTGCCTCCAGTCCTAGGAAGCTGTCCAGAGTCCAAACGCAGAGGACACTCTTTCCCTCCAGTTCTTGTCCAAGACTGTTGTCCCTGCTTTGCTCTGGGAACACATCAGTTGCCTGCAGACCAGTGAGGCCAGGAGCCTCAGAGTCTAGGGTCAAGGCAGAGGCCCTACATTCCCAGATTTGTACAAGGTAGGGCTGAAACACACTGACTAGAACTGAAGAGTGTAGCTGTGTACCCCAGAGGGCTGTTAAAACCGGGGAAAAATGAGAAGGTGGCTGGACACACTGGGAACTGTCCCCAAGGAGAGGGGTTAGGAAGTGTTTGGCAAAGGAGCTAGTGCATCTCTCCCAGATGCAGGGGATGACTCGGCACATCTGTAGGCCTTAATCTGACTAGCAGTACACTTTGGAGAGAAGGATGGTGGGCTGGTTTGGTGAGCGGGGTGCAGATGGAGAGAGGCTTGAGGGGCCTTGAGCACAATGTTGCAGGAAATGGAGAGTTAATTGGAGGGGCCTAAGCAGCCAAGCCAAGTTCAGACAGGGATCTGAACCACATTATTCTTGCTGTGTGAAGAGTATGGGTGGCCTGTGAGGGGAAAAGTCTTACTTGTGGAAACTGGAAAAACAAGCCTGAGGAATAGGATGAAATAATTCCCATTTGTAGTAAAGCAAGAATGAACTCCCCTGGTCGAGGCCTCAGTTGGTGATGGGCCCCACCTGTTCACACCCACTCATTCTTACTTCCTAAACCCTCTGGGATGCCTTAGTTCCATTTCCTACCCTCTGTGTGGGGCCAAGCACCTCCCGAGTGGGGAGAAGCCCCAACTTGCAGCTAAGTCTTGGGTTGGCAGGGGCCATTGCCTGGAACTCATTGACACTCATGGTGGAGGCAATCATGAACTGTCAGGATCCTGAAACCAAGCCTGACCTATAGACACCAAGGAGAGCCGAGGATAGGAGCTAAGTTCCTGGTCCAGCAACCACATCCCAGCCCATCTCTGACCTTGGGCTAGTAGCCATCAGCTTACTTCCACTGGTGTAAACTGGAGATGCCGTGAGTCCCAGCTGGGTTGAAGGGAGCTAGAAGGGGTGGGCCTAAGAGCTTAGCCCAGTCCAGGGTTGCTTTATACTTCTGGTGGGCAGGCACCACATCTCTTCTCTGTGCTGCTTGGATGTAAATCCTGTGTCTGGAACAGCCTCTAGCATGCACCTAGAACATACTCCATAATTACTGAGTTCACATGTCACCTGTTACAGTTATTGTAGGGATTCCCAGAAGATGTTGGCACTGGCCAGGACCCTGTGCCTAAGAGTTCCTCTTGCATAGTCCCAATTAGCCACTTGTTCTCTTGAAATTTTCTCTCCCTCTACCCAGATATGATCCTGCAGGCCAGTTCTAATCCATGGCCAGCACCAGCACTTCTGGTGTCACAAGAAGGGATAACTTAGCATTAGAAGAGATTGATGGCTTTCTGGGTTCTCATTGACTCCATAGACTTCCTCTTCCTTCAGTGGCTTTTGGGATTCCAGTAATTCTCTTTCCTACATCCTCAGTGGCCCTAGGGAAGAGCCTGTTGGGGAGTGTCTTCCTGCCTGTCTCCTCATCTTGCTTCTTGATGCTCACGCCCTTCACCTGAGGTATACAGTGCCAGTGTCACTACCTACAGAAGTTACCAGTGGGCCCTGGGGTCCTGAAAAAGCCAGAACCTCCCATTGCTTCTCAGAAAGGCAGATGCTGTGTCTACCTCAATTCCATCTGCCCCTTGTTAATTCAGGGCTGCCCCACCCCACTTTTCCTCCTGGGAGCACCTCAGCTGTTACTCTCCAGCTCGGCCTGTGGCCTTCTCAAGGTATGAGAAGCCCCCACTTTTCACCTTCATGTGAAATTGAGGGAGAGATTTAAAGCCATTAGGAGCTTTTTACAGCCTAATTTCTTTTAGAAGCAAAAAGGGGCCATTTCCAGCTAAAAGTGGGAGGAGATGTTGAGTGTGTGACTGCTTATCCTAGGGATGTTCTTTCGGAATTATGGCTATTCTGACACCAGCTGATAACTTGCAGTTTAGTTCTGGCACCAACAACCCCAAAGGTAGTCTCAGATTCTCAGGGTATAGTCCTCAAGACCGCCCTTACTTCAAACACCAATTCCAAGTGGGGTCCCTGGGATATCTGAATTCTGACCAAGTAGCCACAAACCCAGGGAGTTCTTCTCAGATATAATAATGTATTAGAACTACTCAAAGGACTTATGAAAGCCCTTTATGTATGATTACAGTTTTATTAAAGACAATAGTCAGGACCAGCTAAATAAAGGGACACACAGGAAGGATCTGGGAGGGTCTTGAATGAGCTCCCATGCCCTCTGTCATGGAATTAGAGCCTGTCACCCTCCAGGCAAATCAATGTGCTCACCCACTAGGAAGCTCCACCAAGCTTTGGTATCCAGAATTTTTACTGGGATTTCATTATGTAGGCATGATTGAGCATTGGCCACTTGATGGAAGTCAATCTCCAGCCTCTCTCCCTTCCCTGGAGATTGGACTGGCTTCAATTCCCAGCCCTCTAATCACACAGTTGGCAGCCTTATCCTGAGGCCACCTGCGGGCTCACCATCATCCACCTCATTAACATCATCAACTCAGACGTGATGGAAGGAGCTTGGGAAGAACAGAGACATTCCCTTTACTCAGGAAATTCTAAGCCAAGCATTTAGAATTCCCCCTTCCAGGAATCCAGGACAAAAACAGATCAGAGTATTTATTATACTAGGGGTGGTGGTTGTATTTTTTCTCCATCATAATGGTGTTCTGGAAAAATCAGCTCTCTGTTACCTGCTACCTCTTTCCACTTTTAAGCATTTCCTGTGTGCCTTGCACTTTTATTATCTTATTTAATTCTTACTACAGCTGTCTGATATATCTTTGATACTGTTGTGCTCATTTGAAAATGAAGAACTGAGGTTCAGAGGGGTGGTGACCACCTCAAGGTGACACAGCTGAAATTACTCCAGTAGGATTTGAACTCAGCTAACCAATTCGGGATCAAAGTTGGAATCTTTTGATTTTAGCCCAGACACTGTACCAGATGCCTCTCCTGGCTGAATATGGCTGTTTTCCCCTTGGCAAGCTTTGGCTGCTGGGAGGTGATAGCACTAGTGGTTTTATAACACACCACAGAGGCCTCAAAACTAGTAAAGAATCTTACCCAGGGGGCCCCATTGGGCTACCTTGCTTCACCCAGGCAGTGACCAGCCACCTGCCAGTCTGTGCATGTCCTGCTGGGACACAGAAGAGAGCAGAATGGAAAGTTCTTGGACTCTTGCTTTCTCTATCAGGCTTAACTGTCTCCTGTAGCTCAGAGCAAAAAGGGCTCTGAGATGCTCAGCCCAGCAGGTCCCTTGTTAAAATCAAGGCTGGACAGTGTAAAGAAATACTCGATGCAAGGCCTGATACATAATAAATGTCCCTTTATCACCTTCTCCCAAATGTTAGAAATGTAGCAGTTGGCATTTCTGCCATTGATAGGCCCCAGGGGATCTGCACAGAGTTAGGTCAGAACTTAAGCTCTGCAGTTTGGGAAATTGGCAGCATTTGTGGGGTTCCCAAGAGATCTGGTTTCTCTCAGCCATACTAGCAGTTCTCAGTTGGGAGCATTACTGCCTCCTACAGGGCATTCGCAGGTGTGTAGGTGAGCCTGCAATTGTCACATGACAAGGGTTCCTCCGTATTAACTTGGTGGGGTCCAGAGCTGCTATCGATCCTGCCCCAAGCTGGATGGTCAGGCACGCATACTGCATCTGCTTCCTTGGAAAGCTCCCTCCTCACTGAAGCCCAGGCTAAATGGATAGGAACTAAAAAACAGGCTTCTGTGAGCATTATGACCCATGGCCAAGTGGTATGCCCTGGTGCACACAGGCAGGTGTGACAAGTGCACCTTGTTTTGCCAGTTCTTCATGCGCAGTTCTTGTGTTAGTCAGGCCCTCTGGGTCGAGGAAGCCCAAGATCTGGCTGGTGGAAATTTGAGGGACATAGGAAAGCATCCTCCATTGTTCCCTGCAACCCACCCAGTATAGATACATGTTGCTTCACACTGGGGACCCTCTCCGGGGCTCACCTTCCACTTCTATGCATCTGCAACTTTTTCTTATCTGTTTTTTCCAAATGCAATGTGTTTAGATAGACCCTGGCCGTTAGGCTCTTCCTCTTATGGCTCAACATCTCTTTTCTTGTTTTGTAGTTGGAAAGACGTCTCTGATCACAAGGTTCATGTACGACAGCTTCGACAACACATACCAGGTAAGATCTTGGGCACCTACCTTGTGCTCTACCCACCCCAAGGGGCTGCACCTGTGGAGACCACCAGGAGACCACAGCCAGCCTCTCTCTGAACATTATTAAGCAAGGATCACAGTGAGATGGCCCCAGTTCCTGAGGTGTCTTTTTGATTTGGAGGACCTACCCCTGCCCCATGCCAGATATTGGCCCCAGCCCTGTAAAGATCTGAAAATCCAGACCTAGAAAAGGAAACATTTTTCAGAGATAAATTCTAAAAATAGAGAGGGAGTGCATTTCAGTCTGTATTCTCTTGCTCCTCCCAGGCAGGTCTAAAGCATCGCAATGTTTGGTTACTTGAAAAGGGAGTCTTGTCAGTTGGAAAAGGAGCAAGAGGAAACATGAAAGAGGTGAAATGTGGAGCATGAGGAGAGCTTATTCCTCAGGTGTGTTTCTGTGGGGCTTTATATCCCCCGACACACAAAGTATCGCTGAAGCACTGCTTCCCAAGAGAGAGACTTGTATGATGAGCTTGCCCGAGCTCTGTGGGCAAGAGGCTGGACAAAGTAACCTCTATGACTCCTGGCTCTGGAATGTTGGTCTGGTGTCATCCACAGGAGGCTCTATGTGACCCAGAAGCCGAGCTCTTAGGAGTCATTGCCTGGCACCACTGTTGGTGACTGGGGGTCGGGGGTGGTGTGTAAGTGAAATGAATTTCCCTTGCAGTTATGGCTTTTTGTAAAAGGCACAAAACTTAAATCATTTAAACTATTCTTTAAATTACTGTTTTCTCTCTTAACATAGAGATAAATGATAATGCATTTCTCTAAGCTAGTGGGTTACTAGTTCTAAGAGATGTTAGTTGAAAAAAAAGGGAGGTGGTGGTCCAGAGCTTGTGTGGAGCTGGAGGGCTCCGGGGGGACAGGGATGATGATACTTCAGTGCAGGACTTCTCAGGGTGTTGACTTCATCGTTATGGGGCTTTGATTTGCTAAAACCACATGTAGTGGGTGTTTCATCATAGAATTCCTTTGTCATCAGTTCTCAAAGACAGGTATTTATGGACTCACTGGGGTCTGTTGCTCTAAGAGGTCCCTGCTCATTGCTATACCTGGACAGGGTGTGGAGGAGCTCACTGTGGTTCCAGTTCTACATCTTCCTTTTATTCTGTCCAACTTCTCTGAACCAGTCATCCTCACCTTGAATACTCTCAGAGAACCCGCTCTAATTTATCTCCCTCCTGATTTATCCTTCTGTGGTCTGAAGCACTAGCTTATTCTAGACTTGATAGAAAACGACTGTAGGGGAGAATGGGTGGCTCTGGGAGAGGGGCCCAGAGTGGCGCACACAACCCTGGGCCAGGTCTTGGCCACGCTGTTGTGACCTCCAGGCCAGGCCTCTGGACCCCACAGGCTTTCTAGAAACCTTTCCTCCTGATACGGGGAGTTCTGTGCCAGTATGCGCCAGAGGTGACAGTCTAAGAGGTTCTAAAGTCTGACTTAGTACTGTGTATGTGTGTTATCTCATATATTACTTTGATTATTTAATTTTTTGGATATTAAGTTACTTATCATGCTGTCTGTTGACAACCCATTGAAAACAATGAGATTCTTGGCTGGTTGATGTTCTTGGCAATAGAGGGAGAAACTCCCTTGAAATCTTACCCACCTCCATCTCCAGTCACTCCCACTGTCCACTGCTTGTCATGGCCCCGCAGCGCTGCTGCCCCTCCTGCCTGCTGCTCCCTTCAACACAGCCCTGGTATACCCTACACCTTGGCTTATGGCCTTGCTCCTGCTGGAATGCCCTTTCCTCTGTCCTTTCACTGTGAAAATTCTTCTGAATCACCAGCCCCAGAACAAATGTTTGCTCTGAGCAGTGAGGCCCTGCCTGCTCTGCCCAAAGCACTTTGTGCTCAGGGCTAATTTCATCTCCCAACTCTAGGGTCATTCCTCTGGCCTTAGCGAAAGCTAGGACTCCCACTGGCCACAGGTGGTGTTACAGATGCCCGCTGTTAGAGAGTGGTTTGAAGACGTTCTGTCTACCTTGGATTTTAGACTCCATCACACTGAGAGGCCCCAAGGTCCAGTGTCATGAGAGAAATTCCAAAGAGAATTCTCTCCTACCATGGGATTGTCTGACAGTGTGTGTATGCGTGTGTGTGTGTGTGTGTGTGTGTGTGTGTGTGTGGCAGCAGGTGGAAATCCTTGCCTAACACCCTTCAAAATGGCAAGAAGGCTGAGAAGCTAGATTCCACTACTGTACACACACAGATTCTATTTAATGAATTCTCTGGAAATGGAGAAGGGGACATTTTAATTTCTTTGCCTTTCTTAGCATGGTGCAGAGGTGTACGGGAAGTAGACAAGATCCCCAAGGGCTCTGGGGGATGAACTTTACCTCCTCCCAGATTGTCCCCCTGCACAGTGACCACCCCCGTCACCCCACCATAAATACCATATCCATTAGCCGGCACAACTTGCCAGAGCTGGCCCTGCCTGCCTTTTGTGAGGTCCTCAGGCAGTTCCCAGGATAAAGTCTCCCTCCTTCTTTCCTCTCTGAATCTCTGCCCCTGCCCGCTTCTGACAACAGACATTGACCTGGTGCTTATGCTTTTTGGAGAGGAGGAGAGAGAAGCCTGTCTCCAGCAGCTGTGGAGGGCTGAAACTTATCCGGCATAACAGTCAGTGAAGCCCTCTTGGTCTGGGGCTGGACATGCATGAGGCCCTAGGGACTCTTGTGAGGCCCTGGGTATGTGGTGCTGGGGTCCTTGTTAGACCTCTTGGGAAGTTCTGTCCACCTGGCAGGCCCCAGAGATGCCACCTTGCTTGCCTGGGTGCCTCAGGGGAGCAGACCTTCTGCTTCCTTTTGCCTGACACTTACCTCCCCACCCCCAAACACTCATATATACCTTTGTTTTTCTCTTGACACGTGTATTGTGGCCTGTCAACACCCTGCCTATCACCCCATCTAAATCCACTTACTTGCAAAGGTAAAAAATGAAGACTCACAGTCACCTGAGATTCATGTCTGCCATGACTCCCTTAGGTAAAACCCCAGCCAAGAATTACTTTCAAAATTTATTGTAGAAAAAGCCTCCTAACCTGCATTGGGATGAGACTTGGCCCTCTTTTTGGGACAAAGCCAGCTGCATGCATCCTGTAGTGAAGCCAGATAGGAGGTGTCAGGCCTCTGCAGGTGACTGCTGGAGTGTTTGGAGGGGAACAGTGCTCCTCTGGGGCCTCTCACAGGCTGTTTTCTGGCTGCATGTTAGCATTACCTATTTCAAGAATGATTGGGAGAGTCACAGGCCAGCACAGGCTTAGCTTTTTTAAAAACTCAGAGGTGATCAAGATGAACATCAAGGCCAGGAGCCACTGCCTATCCCTGAATCTCACACCATGGCAAGTTAAGAAACCACTTACATACTCGGCTGCCCCTGGAAGAGGGCCCTGGGCTGAGGAGCCTGCCAGCTGCTCCCAGGAGGACAAGCTTCTAGGGTGGGCTGCTTGTCTGTAGGACTGCGGAGTTTGTCTTGGCCTGGTTCCTCCCCCGCCCCACAGAACCTTTGGGGAGGAACCACACTCCCTGTCTCCACAGGGCCTCTCCTGCAGGCCAGTGGGCTCCTGAGGGCCTCTGTCCTTGCCCTGACTGTCTTTTCTGACTGCTCTGCCCTACAGCTTTCTGCTCTCACCTTCTGGGGCTGTCATAACAAATTATTGCAAACTGGGTGCTTAAAAAAATAGAAATTTATTCTGTCACATTTCTGGAGGCCAGAGTTTAAAATCAAGGCAGGAGGGCCTTGTGCTTTCTGAAGGCACTAGAGGTGCTGCATCCACCCCAAGGGCCAATGGGAAAAGTGTGGCCAAAGTGTGTGTGTACATGCGTGTACAAGCACGCATGTCTACTGCACTCAGACCAGGAGAAGATAGGGGCAGAGGTGGGATTGTCACAGCCCCACTCCAAGGAGCGCCTGGGGCCTTCAGTTGTCTCCCTGATGTCCCAAAGCATTTGATTCGGTTCCTCTGACACCTACCTCTTCCTGTCAGGTGTTCCCTACTGTGGCCACAGAGCCCTTTCCCCACTCTGGGCACACACTGGCCTCCCATCTGACAAAATGTACTTCCTCTTCAAGGCAGATACTGCACATACTGTATACATACATGTGCACGCACACACATACACACGCACACACAAACAATGCTGGATCCTGACACCTTGGCTTTCCCTGAATGTTTCTTTGACATGGACTCACTCCTCCCTCCAGTGCAGCTACCAAAACTCCTCTATATCTCCCCACCCACTCCTCTCCTCTCCCAGAAGTTTTTCTGCGTTTTAAAGCAGCATGGATTCCTACCTTGTCTGTTACTCCACATGCTGAGAGGATCCTATCTCTAGTACAGGATTATCCTACCACACTTCACAGGCTTCAGGCACTAATGCAGAAGGGGAGGGTGGCAGGCAGGAACTTGGATGACAACTGAGATGTTTGTTGTGATGTGAGCACTGTAACCACACCGAGCTATCATCCTGGGCAGCTGCCAGGCCCCGCCTCTTGATATTCATCATCAAACCTGGGGAGAATCTGGCTTCCCTAACAACAAGGTGTGTCCCTCAGAGTGGGCCCACCCTGGAAGAAAATCAGTGGTATCAGCATTGTTAATATAAATGTGCATTATCGAAAAGCCAAAACAAAAATAATGGCAAGGCTACAGCAGATTAATTTGATAACGCTGAAGTGAAACACAATAGCCTGCCAGTCTCACCCTTGGTGAGACTATGGGTATCCCAGCCATTCCTGTCTCTGCACTTGGGTAGTGTTTTGCAACTTGCCTGATGAACGTGACCCCCTAGACTGCTGAAGAACACTGAACTCTAGCCTCAGGTAACTCTAGCAACATGATAAGCTCTTTGTATTAATGGGCTCTCATATTCCTGCAGGCAGGCTGCTGCTACAGCTCCAGACACCATGTCTATATTCCAGGCAGAAAAAGAAAGCAGGAGTTCCTTGGACTCCTCCTCTG